TTGGCTCTCCAACACACCGGTGTATTATACTAGTGACGAATTGGCACGTTCTGTTCACGTGACAACCCTTACTAGTTGGCTGTGTCGGGTGGTGACAGGTTTTAACGACATTTCTATATTTACGCGATCTAACTCAATTATATTTCGATTTAAAGCTTTCGTGACTGCAAGGATTCATCTTCTTTGGTTCTTTCGGTAAAGTCACGTAGAATGAGAATAAAAAAAAAAAATAACAATTAAATTCTCACGACGTTTCGGCCACAACGCAAGCGGCCGTCTTCAGGTGAAAGGAACATACCTGTCGGGACGACAGAGCTTATTTTATTCTCATTCTACGTGACTTTACCTAACCCGATTCCTCCCCTTTTTTTGCATTCTTTCTTTATCTACTCCACATCAAGTTTGTCCACGTCTCGTCAGTTGTTTTCACAACGTGTCCAGCCTGTTACGACTTTATTTACTTTGCTTTCACAACGTCGGTGGCCCCTGATTTCTTATCTAATTCTTTATTCATTCGTCTACTGGTTTTACTTACTCCAAATATACTTCTGTTCATGTATCTTTGGTAAACTAGCAGCTTTTAAAACGTTTTTCTTATTTAATGACCATGTCTGTGATCTATAAGATGGGACTGTAAGCTGGTGTTTTATATGGGGTGTTGTTTTCATCCTGGCAAACTGGGTTCAACTCCAGGCCATGGGTTAACAACAGTCACAAGTATTGTCCAAAGGTGTCCTCAGCTTCGTATTTCTGCCTCTATGTTAGAGTTTTGGGATTGAGATTAAAAGCTCTGTAATTAGATTACCAATTACACCAAAAATTCCTATTTGTGGTAAACAGTCTCCCTGAATTTGCCATACCAATGCTACTGCCATAATGCCATTCAGATAAGTGACAAATAAGTTGGTTACAAATTCATCTCATTAACTGTCCCTTCCATTGACTTGACTTGACCTGAAATGACCTGGAATTGGTTCTTAATTCTTCATATAATTTGAACCTCACACGGATAAAAAGTGATCCGACTAGCCCAAATTCATAAAAGTCCTTTACAGCTCAGTGGGTCTTAACTGGAAAAACACAAATAGTTTATTCCTGATTATCCACGTTTCCCACTCGTTAAAAGGTAAACGTGCAGCTCTGAAAACGCGAACGTTTCTGCTATCGGAAGGGTCTCCGCTAGAGGGAGCCTTAAAGAGCCCCCTCCTGTGTGTATTTTGGCCTTCTCTTCCACGCTGGCCAGGCAATTTGGCCGGCCGATTGACTGGGCTGTACACATTTATTCTGCTGGTAAGGACGGAGACGGCGGGATGAGAGAAACTTGGCAGTCGTTACAACTGCCACGCCGGGAGATCAAACCGGCGACCTGGATTGCACATCCGGTGTCACGTTTCCATGGATTAACAGTGATTAGATGGCACGCGTTTACAAAAATACACAGCATCTCCAGCCAAAAAGACGAACGTGATTTCCACTTTTTCTTTTAGGGTGCAGATGTATATGTTTGCAAACGTGTCTGCAAAACTCTTTCGTGGATATTTAGCACTCTGTGCCAATTCAACTCCCGTGTGTTTTTACTTTTTAGCGGCCGCATTCAGGAAGCGTTTTGGTGAGGAGTTTCCACAACCACAGGGTGAGGTGTTCACTCATGACAACTTCTATAACAGGGAATTATTAACTAATGCTGTGTTCATAGCAGCCCATTTTATATAGGAATAGGTTTTACCCTTTTAACTGGCACAAAAACTGACACCTTTATTCAAGGCATCATGTTTGCAATAACCACAACACAAGCAGTCACAATGCAAACAAAAAAGACAACTCTGATAATATTATTATTGCAAACATGATGCCTTGAATAAAGGTGTCAGTTTTTGTGCCAGTTAAAAGGGTAAAACCTATTCCTATATCTTGTTTCTGGCAAAGGAGGTCTCATAATGTAAAAGCCCATTTTATATTCATGTAAAATAAATTATCCATGCTTCATAGCAATAAACAAAACCGCAATACGGTCAAAGCTAAGCACTCTCCAGGGAGCAATTTCAGGTGTGCTTATACCCAAAGTGTTGCAGAAGTGTTGGCCTTTGCCTTCCCCCCACCAGTGTAATGATGTGTTGCTTATATCAAAACAGTACTTACAACTAACCTTGGCTGTACTATACTCATGGGCAAAACAAATTATTACTACGGTTAAAGATATTCACCCCCTAAATGATAGATATTTTTTTATGATTTAGGTTTTTGTGCAAATTCAAGGATCAATACTTTATTTAACATTGTAGTTTATGAATAAGCCACTGGTGGCTATACAGAAAATGTATTATGACATGACCGTGTGCATGTATTGTGAGCTTGTGAATGAATATTAATTGATGAACAAATGCACCTCGATTATTTACTGTATATGACTGAATAAATAAGAGATGATATCTTTGTCTTCACAGGATCTGAAGTTAATATAAAGACATCATATCAGCTCCTACAGTCTCTCTTTGACTAATCTCTCAATGATTCGCGGGTGTTCTGTCATGCTGACTAAAAGTCTGGGTTTGAGTCCCGACTCAGGTGCCTTTCTAGTGTGGAGTTTGTACGTTCTCCCCCTGTTCTGCATGAATATCCTCCCGTGTTGTCCGGTTTCCTCCATAACTAATTAAAACCTCGAATGTAACCGGTATTGGTCAAACGTCCCACTGCTGAATAATTCCCTGAAAAGTGCTGAATTTGGATGGCGCATGGCAACAGTTCCCTCCTGCAAAACTTGGCATGACCCTTGCGCAAAAGTCTTCGGACTCAACGAGGCTTTCCTGGGTAAACAAGCGTAATAAATAAACAACAATGCTATGTACTTGCACGGAGCAAATATTTGGTTTGTAATGCTTAATGATGACCCTAAACCTCATCAAATTTGCGGTAATGTTTGCACAACGGTGGCATGTCATGAGCTAGCAGTGTTTATGCTGCATGACATGCCAGATATTAGCTGGGTGGTGGCAGCAGCACACGACTATATAATCCAGCACTGGAGGTGAGGGTTGGTGGATCGCACAAATGTGAAATTCCCTTCCCGTGGGCATAGAGGCATAGAAACCCTGGTTCGTCATGGGAAGGCAGTGCAGCAAGCGAACTTTCTCCATCTGTTTCCATCAGTACGGTGATAGTGTGTTGCCCCGCACACGCGAGTGGGTTTTCTCCAGGTGCTCCATTTGCCTTCCACTTGTATAAACACTCAATAATTGGCAGAACACATCGTCAAATAAAATGCAATGCATAAAAAAGTCATACGACTTAATATGACTTTCCTGGATAAATAAGTTATTTTATAGATTATAATGTAAAATTACTGTAAAACCTTGGATTGCGAGTAACTTGGTCTGCGAGTGTTGTGCAAGACGAGCAAATTTTTTAAATTAATAATTTGATAAACGAGGTCTTGCAATACGAGTAGTACGTATACGCTTTGTCTGCCGAGTGTCACGTGATCACAACTGATTTACGAGTGCTTTGGTATACGAGTGCTTTGGATTACAAACACGTTTCCGGAACGAATTATGCTCGCAATCCAAGGTTTTACTGTACTAGGAAAACAGTATCACTGAGTGCATTGCCTATGTAAAAATTTTAATTGATACCTACATTAATACTACCGGTTATAAGATAGTTACAGTCACCGTTAACATTTTTTTTTATTAATAAGCTGCAACAGCATTTATTGCATTTCACAAAGGATATCATGCAGTTAAGTACATCGCTTTCATTTTCTGTGAAATAGATATTTGTAAATCGATCTGTGATATTGTATTCTGCATGTAGCTCTGATCACTTAAGGGTTTTTGAGTACAAGTTTTTTTAATGCCATTTGTATATTTCATGATGGCACGTTAAGTCTATGATTGTAGGGGTGTCCTGGATGTAGTTACATATATAAAATAACTCATGCTAGCTTCCTTGAACAACTTTACAATTAAATTTTAATATTTTTTTATTTAAAGCTTTCGTGACTGTAGGGATTCATATTCTTGGTTCTTTCGGTAAAGTCACGTAGAAGGGAAACAATAAAATAATAAAAATATAAAACAACAATTCTCACGACGTTTCGACTGCAACACAAGAAATCACCATCAGGTGTGAAAACCACAGCAAGAAAATTTTAAAAAACGTGCCGTTTTTTTAACGTTAGCACCACAGAGAGCGATTTGACAGTTTGTTCAGATGGACGAGTCCATCTATGTTCGGAAAATTAATACTACCTCTCTTACAAACATAGATGGACTCGTCCATCTGAACAAACTGTCAAATCGCTCTCAGTGGTGCTAACGTTAAAAAAACCGCCACTTTTCAAATTTTCTTGCTGTGGTTTTCACACCTGATGATGATTGCTTGTGTTGCAGTCGAAACTTGAGAATTTTATTGTTTTATATTTTAATTATTTTATTGTTTCCCTTCTACGTTACTGTAATTAATCACCTTTGTCAACAATTAATCTACCAACTTAACGATAAACATTTGGGAGATTATTTTTTTCCCAGGACACCCTTCAAAAATGTTGGTGTTATGTATCAATAAAATGTTTTTTTTAAATCTCAGCTGTTACAATGGATTTTTCATGTCTGTTTCATGAAATGTTTCAATTGAAACAAATTACTGACTTCATGACCCGTAAAATTTAGAGGGCGTAAAACCGCAGTGTTGAGCAAAAAATTTCCACATTTTTGTCGGGGAAAAATTCTGCACACCTGTGAGTACGTGCCCGATCATGAGCAGCACCCATTGCGCTTGTAACATTCCTGCGGAGGGAGCTGGTAGGAACGTTGGGTTGCTCGGTCAATGGCCAGGGTCAACGGCGGAGTGGTGTATTCCGCAAATATGCCCGACTGTGAGGGCGGGCACAAGCTGGCGTGAGTAGGTTAAACGTTGAGTTTTATAAGGGCACCACGGGGTGACCAGCCCCTCCCCAACCCAGCCCCTCCCACCCAGCCCCACCCAGCCCCACCCCTCCCATTTTTGAATGCACGACGGACGGACGGACACAATAATCCCCTGTGGGCTGGTGTAACCAGGAGGTTCCTACCAGTATTACGCAAGTGAAATATTTTAGATTTTACTTCATGCAGCTTGGTGCGAGTCCGTGTGTAGTTAATAGTTAGGTGCAAGTCAATGTGTAGTTCATACAGCTAAGTGCTAGTCAACGTGTCGTTAATAAAGTTAGGCGCGAAGCAAGGTTTAGTTCTCGCAGCAAACCACATTGCGGCATTTTCTGAATATAGCAACGCCGCTGGGTTGTGCTCAAGAAGTGGGTTTCAGCCCTGATGAGGTTTCACTTCGTGTGGGATGGGCCGGCCCTGCACAGCTGCCAGGGCATTTGTAGCAACACTTTCAAGCATCTCTCGTCTCGTGCGAATCGTGGAGGCCCCGATGTGAGGAGTGATGATCACGTTTGAAAGTTGCAGCAGAGGGTGATCCCTTGGAAGGACAGTTTCACAAAAGTTCTTGTTAATACCTTTTGAAATAAACAATCCAGTACAACGTAGCATATCCGACTCGCATCCACCCTGACCAATTAACCGCCCTCAACCATTGCATTTTTTACCAATGGTATACCTAATTTTCTACATACTTTTACATTTTTAACCTGTAGCCTCGTCCCCAGGAAGTCGGGTACGCGATATGCTTTGCTGTAGTTTCTCCAACTCGTTCCACAAAGTTGAGAAAAACCAAACCAATGATGATAAAATCCAATCATGTATCACTGCACTGTACAGTACATTATTTTTCAGTCAAACAAATACGAAGGAAATGTGTGGTTAAATAATAATAAAAGTTACAACTTTTTCTTTAATAAGTGCTATTCCCATTCCTTTGCAGATTTCCAGCCTCTGTCAATGCAGGGCTGTCCTCAGGTTTCCCTACATTTACACCATACCGCTCATGGAGTGTCTTTGCAAGAACCTGCCCTCAGGTTTGCCATGTCTGAGGTACAAATAAAAGCCAGCTGGATGTCACAAAAAGACGAATCTCAATACGGGAAGGAGGGGTGAACTACATGTCAATGAATTGTACTGAGTGGTGTATAACCATTACTATTCTTGTGCAACTAACAACAACCGGGAATTTTAATGTCCCGGGAAGACTTGCCGATTTCCCAGCACAGCTACCTCAAAAAAAGAACCCTTCTGGGAAAAACCAGGGCAGGTGGCAACCCTTCCCTGCCTCCGTACATTAATATTATTATGACACTATGAATCCAAATGCATTCATTATACCTGGGCAGTGGCTCTGGGTCGGTGACGTCAAGAGCAGCTGCTCTGATCCACTTGTTCTGGAGGGCTTCCACGAGAGCAGCTTGGTCTATCACAACACCTGGACATCCGCATTACGTTGAGACATTAACACTTCGTTCTGACGTGGCAAAACGCGGGGCTTAAATTGCCACCATACACGTACATCCATGAACAGTGCTTTCAAAGTCTGCGGCCTTATTCTGAGACCAATCAATGCAACATCTATATACAGCATCTAAATCGGCTGAAGCCTATCGTATATCACGTGACTTGTGTGGCCACCACCACCACCTTGATTCCGCCCCCTGTAAAAACAGACGCTGCACCATGCAGCGTCAAGGCTCTTATATAGACTCCTCCCTATCCTTGTCTTACTAGACCCTTTAGCTCGGTTTATTTATTCATTTTCCATCCTTTTCCTCTTCCCATTCTCTATCTTCTCTCTTCCCTTCCCCATTCCTTTGACCTTTTCCATGCAATACATCCTTGAGTCTACTCCCCTTCCTATGGCGTGCTATGAGTAAAACGTTGCTAGTACATGACAATCGTGTGAGTGTTAGTACTGTGCTGCATGTTTAAAGAAAACGCTCTTTAATGAATATTTTCATTAAAAGAAAGAGCCTGTGTCTACATTGGAAAGTCTCACTTAATCCATTGTCATACCTCTGGAGATGTTGATGATCGTGGCATTGGTCTTCATCAGCTTGAATTCCCGCCCTCCAATGATTTTGACTGTTCCTGGGTTTGCATCGACTGCAATCACGAGGAAGTCAGATTTTTCCAGGACTTCGTCAATCTTTTGGCAGTATTGAGCACCCAAGGCTGTCTCCTCATGTATTGGTCTGAAAGCAAACTCATGTATAACGGTTAGTACACTGAACTTGCAGTCCAAATGTTGCCTCTTCATCTCCCAGTGCAGCAGTTGAAACAATGACCAAGTTTATTAAATTCTCCCCCCCCCCCCCCTCCTCCTGTGTCCACCCAGCAGTACAAATGGTTACACCACAGTCGATTAGCAGGTTGCACGTGGTGAGGTCAAATGTGAGCAATTTCACCTCTTCGAAGGCGTCTGGCCAACTCGGAAGAGTAGGATAAAATAAATCTTGACTTAAAGCTTTCGTGACTGCAGGAATTCATATTATTTGGGTCTTTCAGTAAAGCCAATTAGATAGAAAAATTATACATTATAATTATAAATTATAATTTTTATTATTTTTCTATCTACGTGGCTTTACCGACAGACCCAAATAATAGGATGAAATACTCTCAAGACAGACTTTCGCTATTGGAGACCCTTCCACCAGTAACAACATTACCAAGTTATCGCAGAGCTGTACCTTTACCATTTTACATCAGGAATTAATGTTCTTATTAAGTAATTCACCCAAAATAGGAGCATTCAACCAATGGTTTAAATTACAGAATACGACGTTTCGATTGCAACACAAGCAACCATCATCAGGTACAAATGAATGAGAAAACAAACATAATTAACTTGGAAATATAATGCAATACAACACAGAGAGTCGGCCAATAAAACAGTCAACACCCCACGCGGTTAATTACGTTCTTCCAAATATTGCTAAATTTGAGAGAGAGACAAAACATAGACAACCAGGTGGGGTGTTGACTGTTGTGTTGGCCGACTCTCTATGTTGTATTTCATTATATTTCCAAGTTTACTAGGTTTGTTTTCTCATTCAATTGTACCTGATGATGATTGCTTGTGTTGCAATTGAAACGTCGTATTCTATTATTATTTCATAAAATTTCTTTCTAAGTGACTTTACTGAAAGAACCAAAGAGTAATTCCTGCAGTCACGAAAGCTTCGAATCTAGTTAAAATTACAGAATTTGTCACCATAGTGTATACTTTTTGAAGTTACTACAAATCTTATGGCCAGCACAAATTTTCAAGGAGCACAATTACCACCCAGTAAGGATAAATGACCTCAAGCCACTATTCAGTAAAAAAAACTGCAGTGTTTTTGTGGATATCGATTGATCTGGAAAACTATCCAAATCCATCCTACATGGCACCATTGAGGGGGCTACAAAAAGAAACTTGGTTTCAGAATATAACAGATTGGACAGGCTAATACCACAACCAGCTGAGCCATGAGATTGAGTACTTGACAAGGTTGGGGGATTTTATCACGAGAGTTACTAACATGGGGCCGAATCACTTTGTCATGAGGCTGGTTTTGGGAGATGGCCCATAGTGAATGCATCCTTTATAAGGTGAACACACGTACCTCCTTGTGCGATTGTGGTATAGAATGGACATGTGAAAACCACGGGCTCTCTCCGCCACCAAACGGCCTATACGACCCATTCCTAAGATCCCAAGAGTGGCACCATGGACGTCCACGCCAACCAAGATGTGACCTCCGTCCATACAATTCGGTGATTTTGTAAGGTAGGCACCTGATGGGAAACCAAATAAAACATCATCTTAGGTCTATAAATACCACAAAGTAATGAACAAGAGGTTATCTTTCCATTGAGAATACAAATATTAGTTCATCAGCCCACAGACCTTATGGAACCCATGCCTCCCGGCTGTATTTTTAGGCAGGCAAACTCTAGACTAGTTTAACTTTTGAGTCCTATCAGCAAGTTCAGGCCGGTTCAACAAATTATGCAAGTGTCCAGACTCTTGGCTCATCCAAATCATCAAAATAAATGCTTTTGCCTGGTGATGTTGCTCCATCGCTTTCCAATTATCTAGTTTGGCAAATGTGAACCATAATGCTGGCACACGTGGCCTACATTTTCGGATAACATGAGAATGTTAGCGTCCACTGTGAAACAGCTGGTTTATGGTTAGTACACCTGCAGTATTAACCATGAGCCATCCGTTTCACAATGGACGCTGAGATGCTGCAGGTGTATTAACTAGGGTGGCCGTTGAGCTTGAACTGCCATCTTTTGCAACAAGTGGAAAACATGCTGCCGCTAGACCATGTCACTGTCGGATCATGGCTGTGTCAGATTGCTGGTGGTCATGGTTTCCCTGCAGTGAATTACCATTCACCACCTCCCTGGCAGAGGCAAGTAGCAGGGCCATGCCCATGTCGGCCGTGGTGGCAGAGACAACATCCGGAGTGTGGGACACAGAGACGCCATGGCTCCAGAGCAGAGGCAAGTCGAGATGGTCAACCCCCGCTCCAAGACTCGCTACCGTCCTCAGGTTAGGAAGACTATCCAAGAGGTCTTTGGTGACCACAAGTTCCCAGCATAAAATACCGATGGCCTCGACTTTTTCTGCCAAGCCTTTGTTTTCTTTAATACTCGTTAAAGTCACCACATTGAAGTATTTAGTGATGCACTTTACTTCATCTTGATTGTATGTTGAAGATATATTTTCTGATACCAACATGTATGGCAAATGTTCCATGGCAGAAACAATTCCCCAGGTGAGAAATTGACGTTTTGGTCTATGAGAAACAAGAAATATCACAAGAAGGCAAACATTATTTCGATGGTGAAAAAAGTGATCTAGAACTCCATTTGATTTAACATTTTGCTGTGAAAATATATTGTAAACAAGTAACCTTTCACACATCTCCTTTCCACCCGTATTACTCCAAAATGAAAATAATACAGACGGTCCTCCGTGTGACAAGTACAGCACATCGGTGTGTTGAAGAGCAAATCTACAACATTTGTAATCCTTTACTTTTAATAATTGTTAGTAATTACTAAATTTAGTAAATGCGTGAAAGGATTGTAAATTTTGTGGATTCACACATGTCTTTTCACGCATTTACTCAATTTATTAGTAATTACTACATTTAGTAATTACTAATACATTTAGTAAATGTGTGAAAGGAGATGTGTGAAAGGATTGTAAATGTTGCGGATAAATAGCATTTAGTAAATCAACTGCATGCATGATGGTAAATTGTACGCCGACATTTGATTATTTGCTTCCACGCAGCACTAAGGCGGTAGCTATCTGAATGGTTAAAGTTATTTTTTATTCCTTTGAATTTCGATAGATTCTCTAATTACTCTCTGCCAGTAGTAGCTAGTTTTGCACAGAACTTCAACATTATCAAAATCAATGGAGTGTCCTTGTTGGCACGCGTGTTCTGCTACTGCTGACAGTTGTATTTGCGAGAATTTTATATTTCTCTGATGTTCTTTTAGTCTCGTCCTGATCATTCGTCCTGTTTGCCCAACAATATTTACCACACGTGCAGTTAATCCTGTACACACCTTCTGTTGATAGTTTCAATAATACATCTTTTGTAATATTGATCATCTCGTAAGTTTTGATGTGACCTCTCTGTTCACGAGGGTTCCGGTCAACGAGTCAAATAAATTATACTCTTAGGTTTTATTCAGTAAAGTCACGTAGGTAAAACGAATTAAGATAAAATAAACAATTAAAACACGACGTTTCGGAGGCAACGCAAGCTTCCGTCTTCAGGTGGGACCAGTCACAGGCAAACTCGCTGCACCAAGTGGCGAGGCTCTGGGAACCTAGCGCTTAAATACAGGTCAAGGTAGGGGGGGAGTGTGGGAGGGGCCATGTGGGGGGACTTTAGTGGGGTGCGGAGGGGGGATGGGTCGTTGTGTGTGTGCAGGGATGAGTTAATCCGTCTTTTGTTGTGTGGAGGGCGCGGGAGATGGGTCACTGTGTGTGTGTGTGTGCAATATAAACGGACAGAATATCGGCCAGGATGTGCTGTAAGGGGGCAGTAGAAAAAGGAAAATAAAAAAGTTCGGAAAGAATATGTTTGGTATACCACTGCTTGAAATTGCTGTAGAAATTAGTTAGTGTTTGATATGATTCAAAACGTCTTTCCAGTGGTTGCTTAATTTGAAACCATCCTCTTGGTTGAAATTATGCCTGTGTTTGTATATCTGAATGGCTTCGTGGACAGATCTTTGGTGATAACCTGTAGATTTACAGAGAACCTTGGTATCGGAAAAGACAATCTCATGATCACTCATAGCGTTGTAACAGTGATCAGCCACAGCAGATGAATTCGTTCTGCCGTGTTTCAAATCTGATATATGTTCACGAATTCGGTCAGAGATATGTCGTTTCGTCTCCCCGATATAACAATCACCACAGGTGCAGCTCAATTTGTAAACACCGGGGTACTGTAAGTCAGGGATGACATCCTTTACGGATGAGATCAGATCACGAATTTTGTGTACTGTATTGAACCGGACTTGGATCTTGTGTTTGTTTAGAATTTTGGAAATCTTTTTAGTAACGCCTGCTATGTAAGGTAATGTGATGGTTTTGATCGGAGTATCAGGTGGTTGTTTCTGTATGGTAGGAGAAACAGCTTGGCGGATGGTACGGTCAGAGTATCCGTTCCTCCTAAGGGCCAGCCGTACCAATTTTAATTCTTTTGAGACGGGTGGTAGTGGGAATCCGGTTTCAAGTAGGAATCTGTGTGGGTGGGCTTTCTGTAAACAGAATGTCCCAACGAGCCATCAGACCTCCTCTCAGAAAGCCCACACACACAGATTCCTACTTGAAACCGGATTCCCACCACCACCCGGCTCAAAAGAACTCTTTCATCAAAACGTTATACCATTGGGCTCATTGCCCATTTCAGACCAACGGATACTCTGACCGTACCATCCGCCAAGCTGTTTCTCCTACCATACAGAAACAACCACCTGATACTCCTATCAAAACCATCACACTACCTTACATAGCAGGCGTTACTAAAAAGATTTCCAAAATTCTAAACAAACACAAGATCCAAGTCCGGTTCAATACAGTACACAAAATTCGTGATCTGATCCCATCCGTAAAGGATGTCATCCCTGCCTTACAGTACCCCGGTGTTTACAAATTGAGCTGTACCTGTGGTGATATCTCTGACCGAATTCGCGAACATGAATCAGATTTGAAACACGGCAGAACGAATTCATCTGCTGTGGCTGATCACTGTTACAACGCTATGGGTGATCATCAGATTGTTTTTTTCCGATACCAAGGTTCTCTGTAAACCTACAGGTTATCACCAAAGATTTGTCCACGAAGCCATTCAGATATACAAACACAGGCATAATTTCAACCGAGAGGATGGTTTCAAATTAAGCAACCACAGGAAAGACGTTTTGAATCATACCAAACACTAACTAATTTCTAACCGCAATTTCAAGCAGTGGTATACCAAACATATTCTTTCCAAACTTTTCGATTTTCCTTTTTCTATTGCCCCCTTACAGCACATCCTGGCCGATATTCTGTCCGTTTATATTGCACGCACACAGTGACCCATCTCCCGCGCCCTCCACACAACAAAAGACGGATTAACTCATCCCTGCACACATACAACGACCCATCCCCCCTCCGCACCCCACTAAAGTCCCCCCACATGCCCCCCCCCCTACCTTAACCTGTATTTAAGCGCTAGGTTCCCAGAGCCTCGCCACTTGGTGCAGCGATTTTAGCTGTGACTGGTCCCACCTGAAGACGGAAGCTTGCGTTGCCTCCTAAACGTCGTGTTTTAATTGTTTATTTTATTTTAATTCGTTTTACCTACGTGACTTTACCGAATAAAACCGAAGAGTATGAATCCTTGCAGTCACGAAAGCTTCAAATCTAGAATCAATTAAATTACTCGACACTCTGGTAACGAACAAAGGTTTAGCCAAAGATATCCCAAGACCAGCTGAACATTGTCTAAAGAACACTTTTTTTCTTGTGGCAAGGTGACATGGAAGATTTTGAAACAAAAGCAATAGCTTCAAGCACACTAAAACCACCTGCTTGGTTTAGATATGTGGATGACACATTGGTGGTCTGGTCACACGGCAAAGATAAACTGAGCGCATTTCTAAATCATCTCAACTCGCAAAACCCATCTATCCAGTTCACCATGGAAGTGGAAGCTGACAGAACTCTACCATTTCTGGATATTCTGCTCGGACGGGGTAGAAATGGTAAAATAACACAGTGTTTAACGAAAGAAAACACATACTGACGCCTATCTGAATGCAGTGACACCATCACCCCGCACAGAAATCTGCTCTTATCAAGACGTTAATGCATCGTGCTAAGAAAGTGTCACATGGTGACAGTCTGAGAAGTGAAATTCAATATGTTAAAGAAGCGCTGCAAATAAACGGTTAGAATTATGCACAAATCAAAAGGGCATTGAATACCAAAACCAAATCAAATAACAAGAGCATTGAAACTGCCCAAGTAATTAAAACTATCAAAATACCGTACATTGCGGGAGTAGCTGATAAACTCGCCAGATGTTTGGAAAAACAAAACATCCGAGTCAGATTTGGCACGGTACATAAAATACAGAAATTCATATCTGGTACAAAAGATGTATTACCGAAGCTATCAACAGAAAGTGTGTACAGGATTAACTGCATGTGTGGTAAATGTTATCTTGGGCAAAGAGACCAAATTATCAGCACGAAACTAAAAGAACATCAGATAAATATTAGATTATCCCAAATACAACTGTGAGCAGTAGCAGAACACGCGTGCCAACAAGGACACTCAGTTGATTTTGATAATGTTGTAGTTTTGTGCCAAACTAGCTACTACTGGCAGAGACTAATTATAGGAATCTATCGAAATTGAAAGAAATCTAAATAACTTTAACCGTTCGGATATCTACCGTCTTAGTGCTGCGTGGAAGCGAATCATCAAATAATACATTGTTTAAGTGCATGCCTACAAAGGGCAGCGTACTTTAATTGGGATTACCGTTGGTAGGGCTATTGGGCTTGCAAAATGAACATGCAATAATGTACGTTGTCTCAGTAATCTCCCCCCCCCCCCCACATTGTGCAAGAGCATAGCTGCGTGGTCAACACATCTACGCCTCTATATAAGGAACGAAACACCAAGACTTCTCTACAAATCTGGCTGTCGCCTGATGAAGCTAGTTGTAATTACTGGCGGAACGTCATACTCAGATATAAATCTTGTGGCTTGGCTCTCCAACACACCGGTGTATTATACTAGTGACGAATTGGCACGTTCTGTTCACGTGACAACCCTTACTAGGTGGCTGTGTCGGGTGGTGACAGGTTTTAACGACATTTCTATGTTTATGCGATCTAACTCAATTCTATTTCGATTTAAAGCTTTCGTGACTGCAAGGATTCATCTTCTTTGGTTCTTTCGGTAAAGTCACGTAGAATGAGAATAAAAAAATTAAATAACAATTAAATTCTCACGACGTTTCTGCCACAACGCAAGCGGCCGTCTTCAGGTGAAAGGAACATACCTGTCGGGACGACAGAGCTTATTTTATTCTCATTCTACGTGACTTTACCTAACCCGATTCCTCCCCTTTTTTTGCATTCTTTCTTTATCTACTCCACATCAAGTTTGTCCACGTCTCGTCAGTTGTTTTCACAACGTGTCCAGCCTGTTACGACTTTATTTACTTTACTTTTACAACGTCGGTGGCCCCTGATTTCTTCTCTAATTCTTTATTCATTCGTTTACCGGTTTTACTTACTCCAAATATACTTCTGTCCATGTATCTTTGGTAAACTAGCAGCTTTTAAAACGTTTTTCTTATTTAATGACTATGT